ACCACTGCATTACATTTTTCCCTGCCATGTCTTTAAAATATGGACATTTATTTTACCCCAGTATATTTAACAGAGCTTCTGTGCTAGCCTGAAAAGCGTGTGAGTAAACAGCTTTTTGTCTCATTATAAGCTTGAGCAACTAAATGATTGCTGAAGTCTATTTAACTGTAGCTGTAGAAGCCTCTGCTTTTGGACGCGGCAACCCTTGAGCTCCAGTGAAGAAAAAAACGGTTCTGTCACGTTACGTCACACTAAACTGCTCCAAATGTGTGATGCGCAACAGCAAGGCCAGCCTGTCAGGTGTGTGCAAAGCACAAGATGTGTAGTTCTAACCCAATCATGCCCTCAATCTTCAGTGCTAATTTCACCATCACGCTCCATCATAACATCAACAACTCCTCAGACAACTTCACACCTCCACCAGAAATCTCGTCGCAAATTAGTCTCGTGAGATCTCATAGCCCGGGATCTTGTCACATCCCTTTGTATACTATACAGTACACCACACACACACACACACACACACACACACACACACACACACACACACACACACACACACACACACACACACACACAAATTATTCCACCTCAGCATTCAGTCTTTGGTCTGGGTCAGGCCAGAGAACCTCATCCACATCACAGGCTACTCTTGCCCCACACTTTCATCCACAATCCGCATCCCTGTCTTAACTTTTGTCCTCATTGCTTGTCTTCACTTACACCTGAAGAGATGTTGAGTTTCGCAGTAAGAGTTCACCAACATAACGCAAGTGTCAAAGCAGAGAATAGTGTTTAAAGTCTAAAAAAGTGTCTGTGCTTTCTGAAAAATGGCATTATAGTTTTCAAATTATAGTTCAGAAGTTGGAGAACAGCTGTAATATCCTGACCTGTCTACAACTGTTGTGGGAAAGTAAAGAATCAGCCGCAGTGATTTAGATTCTGTTTAGAACTGTAGATCTCAGCAGCAGTTCAGTGTTCCTGGGATATCAGCGATTAAACACGACCGCTCCAACACTAATGCCATTCACAATAATTAATAAAGTGTTTCTGTGTGAGGAGAGACAGAACACGAGAAAGACTGAGTCGGTGTTGGAAAGTAATAGTGGTGACTGCTGTGTGCTTGTGTGTGTGAATGTTTCTGTGTGTGTGTGTGTGTGTGTGTGTGCTTCTCCTGCTGTTAGCGTGGGCCGCGGGCCGTATGGGTGTGCAGTGTTTGACTGGTAACACTGAACGCTGTCCCCTGCTGAAAGATTCCAGAAGCTTCTCCTCCTGGCGGGGCTCTGGGTCATGCGTTTGTCATCATGACCTCTGACCCCTCAGGCCAGCGTGGCAGCAGGAATGTGGGAGATGTTTACGCTGCTGGAGCTGATGGAGTCCAGGTGGCCGCTTGGTTTTCTCTCGTCTTTCTCTGTAGCGCTCCGTCACTCGCTGCTTTCTGCTGCTCAATTATTTTATGGCATCGAGCAGGTGATGTGTGTGTGTGTGTGTGTGTGTGTGTGTGTGTAACAGCTCGCGGTCTCAGCACTGTTTTCTGTGAGGAGGCCTCTGCGCTGCGGTTATTGTGAAATGCGATGTAAGAGGAAGAGCAGCACTGTCCCACCTTCACACAGCTCCATCTCTCCCTCTCTCTCTTTCTCTCTCTCGCCATCATTCATCTGCTGATGGCTTTTTGAAGTGCTCTCTAACTTCTGGAAAGTTTTCCACCTCCCCCTCCCTTTTAAAAGGCCATTAAACTGTGTTGTAATGCAAACGGTAATTCTAAAGAGACCAAACAGGTGTCCGATGTGCAGGCAGCGTGTCTAATGTAGCTATTACATGGACAACAGCAGATTATCATAAAAGCATCTCTCCTTAATGTGGACTGGACTGATCAATAGCAGACTGGCGATGAGACGTGCACGCACACACACACACACACACACACACACACACACACACACACACACACACACACACACACACACACACACACACACACACACACACACACACACACACACACACACACACACACACACACACACACACACACACACACAGCAGACTGGAACTGATATTTGCTGCACTTTATTAATCCTCTCTAGTGACATGGTCTGATGCTGTGCGCGCACACACACACACTCAAAAACACAGAGTAGATCAAGGCGTGTTTCACTGTCACTCTGCTGGTCTTGGTAGAAGAGAGCTCTGGCTCTGGGTTTGGGTTTAGGCTCTGGCTCTGGGTTTGGGTTTAGGCTCTGGCTCTGGGTTTGGGTTTAGGCTCTGGCTCCAGGTTTGGGTCAGATTTAATGCTGTCCGCTTTACCTTTGCTCTGCCTCTACACAAACATCTGTCTGTGCTGGCCTCGGGCTGGTTCCTGCCGCTCTGCAAAGGGTCAGAGGTCACGCTGCTCCTCCACAAGCGTCTGACGTAACATCTCTCTGGAAGCGGCACGGGTGTCGATCCGAGCGCAGGACTTCTGCTGGCCTCCAGCTCGTTCAAAGGCTGTATTTTTAGAGCCACTACGAGGCAGAAGCTGCTCTTCGCTGCTCTCTGTGTTTTTGAAGTACTCTCTGCAGGCACAAAGCTTTTACTCGTACCTTTTTGGATTAAAACGATCCTCATTAAAGCACTATGAGGCTTTTCATCCTCTCGCTGGTGTGAGGGAAAGCTTATTTAACGTGCTTTATTGAGTTCTGTGCTGCAGAGATGTGTCATGTTTTACCGCACAGCAGAAACACTCAAATGTCATTTTGGTCAAGTCACTAATCTGTGAAACGCTCTGACTGCATCACGACGAGCCACAGAGGAAAGAGTTTTTATTAATTTCCACAGAGTGATGTACATGTGCAGGGTGAACTGGCTTTAGCGGGTTATTTAGGGCTCGGTTTACTCAACGTTTACTCATTCCCTGTTCTTCTTTCCTGACTGACTTTAATGCAATGGCTTTACCACCGCCTACTGCTCTGTCTTTTACAGTGCTAACCGATAGCCACAAAGTCAACTGCTTTATATTAGACGCATTAGCGATGTGTAATGTTGGAGAGTTTCTGACTAACTCTGAAAGTGTGTATATGCACAGCACATGATGAGCCTCTGCTGAAAGCTTTATGTGAATATTTTCAGTGTCATAAGCTTCCTTTTCCAGCATGGATGTTGTAATGTAACTCTAATATAATCACCTTAATAGACTTCAGCATGTATGTGGTTGTTATAGTGTGGTTGCTGAAAGACCGTTTAAACGCAGGCGCCGTCATGAGCAGCAGGCGAGCACAAACTTCACTGATAATACCGGAGTGAATGAATGTCCATGTGTTAAAGACACAGCGCAGAACAATATCATCTACTGCAGTGCTTCTTATTTGGTCTGACGCCCTCTTTATATTGTGACAGTGAAGATCGCAGCTTTTAAGAAAGCAGATCTTAAACACAGCGATATTTGTCTGATATGACAATTCACCAGAAGCCCTGGGGCTGACTGAAATTAAACTCTGTGTGCACATAGCCCATTGGTTTGAGGAAGCTGTTGGCTGATTCATGAGTTTGCTTCAAATATAAATAAATAATAATAATAATAATCATACAAATAAGCATTTTGTGCAGAACAGATGGAGTTCAGCATTCCTGCTCTTTGGATATTCTCCTGGCCTGTTTTCAGACAGAAGCACAAACCCAACACTAAGCCCTCCTGCATGTGTCTGTGTGCTGTAGATGAAGCGATGTGTGTTTGCATGTGAAACGGAGTCGCTGTTAGCAGGAGGGAATCTGCGCCGTTCTCCAGACCACAGCCCGAGGGAAAAGATCAGCAAAACGAATTCTGCCTTTAAAAAGCTATCTGACAAACAGCAGCGCTGCAATCCAGCCAATTTCTGCATGTTGGTTTGATAAGCATCCTCTGGGTCTCGCTGCACCACCGAGGGCTTCCCATGTGTGACTTCATAAAATTTGCCTCTTACAAATAAAGCTTTGATCTCCTGTAAGTAATACAGATTTAACCCAATATTTCAAGCTATATTAGCCAGACGGTAATAGCTGCTGACGTTCTGCTTGTTGTGAATGTGTAGTTGAGGAGAGGAGATGCTCAGCCAGTCGCCCGTCTCTGAGCGCTAGAGAAGCAAAGACCTGTTAAAACATGCTCTGTAATGGATTTAACGCGGCATGTTTTTACCTGCTGTGTAATTGGTGTATTAAAATGTCAAGTGACTGCACTGAATGTAATATCAGCTCATCAGCTCAGCCGATATAAACTTCATGGACTGATCGTCATCCGTCAGAAGGCAGGATCACCAGAACCCTTCTGAATTCTAGCACTTTCAGAGCAGAGATCAGCCACTGATGTTTCCAGGAGATCATGTACGACCGCCAGCCAGTCTGGAAATGAAGTGTTTGTGTTTAAGACGACACGTGGCCAATGACAAGCTGAAATAAACCCCTTAATTCAGCTAAAGCACAAGCGATTCTACCCAGCAAAAGGCAGAAGTTGCTGGGATTGATCAGAGCACACACACACACACACACACACACACACACACACACACACACACACACACACACACACACACACACACACACACACACACACAAACAATCCAGGGCTAGAGTGTGTCTTGTGCCGGGCTGCATTGATTTAATGCATTACTCAAACTGCTGGAGAGAGAGTGTGTGTTTGAGTGTGTGTGTGTTTGAGTGTGTGTGTGTGTGTGTGTGTGTGTGTGAGAGAGAGAGGTAGAGTCTCTCCTGACTGCATTAAGAGCCTCCAGCCTTTGTGATTCCTTTTGATCAAATCTCTGAGAGAGACGTGTGTCGTGCCCTCTTCCAGCCAGCTGTGAGAGACCGGCCCGCACCCGTGGGGGAGGAGTGTGTGTGTGTGAGAGAGAGAGAGGGAGAGAGAGAGGTGTGCATGTGTGTGAGGGTAAGAGGTGAGTGTGTGTATGTGTGTGACGGGGGAAGAGAGAGAGAGAGAGAGAGACGAGTGTGTGTGCTGGACAGAGAGAGAGAGTTGTGTGTGTGTATGTGTATGTGTGTGTGTGTGTGTAGGAGAGAGAGAGAGAGATCTCCTAAGGTGAGAGAGATACGGTGGGTAGGAGGGTCTCATTCCTCTCCCCAGCGCCCAGTTCCAGCACACACACTCCTGCTGGACGCTCTGGAGCGCTCACACACACTCACACACACAGGGCCTGAGGACGAGCGCTGCGTTTGCCGACTGCAGGAGAAAGTGTGTGTGTTGTGAGTGATGGATCTCTGCTGTAGGATCTAGAACTTGTACAGACAGGAGCCGCTGGAATGGCAAACTCAGAGACGCTGGAAACTTCCGTCTGAGCAAGATGTCTGAGGTAAGAAGTTTGTTTTTCGGCTCAAAAGTCAGAAATGTTCCTCAGAGAGAGCCGAGAGGGACACGGCGGAGTGTAGGAGCGGAGCACACACTGCTGCACTGAGACACGGAGCTTTTAAAAGTGCTGTGCTTATTTTCTGAGCCTTGAGCTTTGTAGCGCGCGCTGGTGTGTGTGTGTGTGTGTGTGTGTGTGTGTGTGTTTATTGGTTTTTGAGACAGAATGTAAAGTTTTACTAAAAAAGGAAAGAGAAAATTTGCAGGTAAGCTCTTTTGTAATAAACTTTATTGTGTGTACAGAAGGGTGTGTGAAATATGCGTCTTCACAAGTGTGTGTGTGAGTGAGTGTGTGTGTGTGTATGTATGTGTGTGTGTGTTACTCGTCCGCTGGAATGTAATTCAAGACAGCAGTAATTCTCCGCCACGGCTGAAACAGGGGATAAATGTGAGTGTTCGTACCGCTTGTTTAACCTGAAGAGCGGAGCGACAGATGAGTCTTCTAGAGGCGCAGAGACGGTATTGATCTGCCGGACTCTGAGGGTGTTTTCCCACTCTCTGCCTTTGTGCCGATGGAGATGAGTTAGTGTCCCGAAGTGGGACTGAGACCCGACTCTGGGCGGGCAAACAGCTAATGGCCTTG